CATTCCTGTTTATGGAAAGATTGTCTTTCATGAAACCAGTTCCTAGCGCCATAGAGGTGGCCTTAGAGCCATGAGATTAAGTCACAGTCGCCTCAGACCTGGTCACCAGTTGCAGCCAGCTGAGAACAACTCTTGCAGCTCACCCGCACCGGCAGCCCCAGGACTTACGATCCCAGCACTTCCATGAAGATGAAGGTTTTCCGGATGTTGGTGGTCTGTTTCTTCCAGGAAGAACTGCAGTCATCTTCTTCCTTTCGACCCATCGCCTCCAGAGTTGAAGCTTCTGGGGATGCTTCGTTGGAGGGAAGGAAGAAAAGGTCTGCTCAGCTGATTGCTCAGACAAGACAAAAACAGGTTGCAAAAGAATCTGAAATGCTCACATTCTTTATGTAATGACCAGAAGGAGCAAAACCTGGATACTTGGCAAAAATATCTTGTTACTTGCTTTTTAAAATTACTTTATCTTCTGCATGTTCACAGAAGGGCAGCCCCACATATGTTTGATGATTGAGAGAGGGGTATCTACCTTGAGCGGGTGTGAGTTAAGCAAAGGCATTTCTTATACCATCTAAATGATAGCCAAGGTGTTTATTTTAGACTATGGAGTCAGCTAGGCTTCTCCTGCCACCTCCCCCAATTGTTCTCACTCCCACTTCTCTCCCACCTGTTATGGGTAAATTGGCTGAGCATTCAATAAATGAGCGTTGTGTTTTCTTCGTAACTCCCACAACATTTAGCACCGTGCTGGGTAAATAGTTACTCACTAAAATCTAAATTGAATTGCATCTTAAGTTTATATACAAGCTCTAGAGTTACACTGGTCATTCAACGGTCGATAACTATTTATTTTGCACCTCTGATGTCCAAGAGCTAGAGGTACAGATACTGATGATTAGGCAAGTTACATGGATGATGGTGCTGCTTTCATGGGGCTGCCAGTCTGGAGGAGACAGACCATGGGCAAGGAAAGTCACATGTGCACAAAGCGTGGGGAAGACCATGACAAAACCAAACCTGAGCTTGCCAGAGACAAACAGGGAGGATCTTCTTAGATAAAGGCCAGGGAAGGCCTTTGGGGCAGGTCATATTTAAGCTGATACCAGAAATTTGTGAAGGAGCCAACCTTGTAAAGAGTATGTGCAGGAGTTTTTGGCAGAAGGCATAAAATACCGAAGCCCAAAGGGAGGAAAGAGTGTGATGTGCTCCAGACCCTGGGGGGACAGTGTGGCTGGAGCAGAGTGAACTCAGCCTGGCTGGAGGTGGTAAGTGGGCAGGGAGAGGGGGCTGGGGGGCAGACCTTCCAAGGCTTTGTAGAGTCTGTTGATGACGTTGGGTTTTCACATGAAGGATTTGTGGGAGGGAGGCTAAATTACATCACTGATGCTTTAAAGAGCTCACTCTGGCTGAGCTGGGCAGAAGGGTGTGGAGGGCCAAGAGTTGCAGCATGGGAAACAGAGAGAGAGAGATGACTGTGGCTTGAACAATGGTGGGAATGAGGGAGAGAATGGTGGGTCTGGGGTATATTCTGGAATCCAGTTATCTACGGTGCTAGGTTATATGCTGTGTGGTGGGGCAGGAGGAGGCTAGAATGACTCCCACATATATGACAGGAGCTTTTGGGGGTGGGAGTCCCCTTACTGAAGTCATGAATACTAGAGAGAAACATGGTCCTGGGGTAGGGTGAGGTGGATTGGAGGGACTCTCTGCTCTAGCCACCCCTACAGCTGCAGCGTTGCAGTGCTACTGGGTGTCTGGGAGCAACGGGTAAGATGCCATTTCTACCAACACCCACTCCCCCACATCCTTAGTCCTGACGGAGAGGTAGAAAACTGTGTCTAATGGTTCCCTCGGAAGCAATGCCTTTCCCTCTCCAGTTAAAAAAAGTACTGGTAGAATCCATGGGGTCTTCTAATAGGCTTAGAACAAAAAGGAAGTTTGTGCCTCCACAATTTAGCAGTAGGTGAAGAGCAGTTATAGAGGTCACTTGACCTCAATTCCTACCTCTGCTAGTTACTACTTAAATTGTTTTTAGGCAAGTTATTAACCTCTTTGAATCTGCTTTCTTATCTGTAAACTGGGGACAAATCTCCTCGTGAGATAGTGAGGGTTAAATGAAATAGTGCACACAGAAACATTGCCCCACACGTAATAAGCAGTCATAACAGAGATAATATTTTGGAGACATTTATTGATGTATTTAATTTCTCGTAATTGCCATCCAGAGGACTCATGTCATAAAATAGGTTCCATGGGATAGAGAGAAACCTGCCATTAAGACAGAAGTATGAGGCTTACAGACCTGGGAATTAGAAAAATGTGAGAGAAGGGAGGCCCTTGGTAGAGGGGAAGAGGGGGTGGGAAGATGGGTACTTTGGGTTCAAGTGGATCACAGGAAGGCGATGGGGAGACAAATGGTCTAGTTGTCAGAAGCACACATCTTCACATCTTTGCTTTCACCTTCTTGGAGTGTGGCACCCATAAAGGAATGGCAGTACTGGTGACATGGATAGGTGGGTTTCCCAGGACCCAGCTACTGTAAGCCTAGAAGGGGCTCTGCCTGCAGCCCCATCTGACAGGGCAGTGAGTAATCCAAGAGGACCTAGTGGGAGGAGGTGAGTCCGAGACAGGGCCACACGAGCTGCAGGGTCTCCAGATGTTCTCCTGGGCCGGGGAAAGGGTGACGAAGCCTGGTTTTGCTAGCTTATGAGAGTCAACTGTACACACCTCTTCCTAGTCCTGTGTTTAGTGCTGTCATGTTGGTAGTTTGAAATCAACCATGGTGAGACTATTTACACCATAGAAAGTGGCAACTGCTATAGTCAGGGCTTCTTCCCCGCTCCACCTCCCCTCTGCCTTATGACCTATCATTAAACATTTACCAGCTTACTATTGCTCATGGCCCTATGAGGGAATGCAGAGCTGCTACAGCTGGGGTTGGGAGGAAGAGAGTTTCTGGGGTAGAAGCAAAGAGCTGGGATCAGGCTTTTTGTGATAAGCCAGCAAGAGGCATCTCAGAGGTCATGAGGCAGCTTCTGGTGAGATCCAGAGGACTATGGAAGCCAAGCTTCCTCGTAAGTCTGAGCCCCCCTTGTCCCATCCTCCAAGGTCAAATAAATGTCTTACAGGATAAAATCTCATCTTGAAATAGAGCAGGAGGAAAGGCCACCTCAAATCTGTGTTTTCTGGAGACAGACAGGGTGGGTCGACTAAATGAGACTCCTTAAACCCAAAGCAATTGATACGCTAGAGTGGACAAATTCAAACAGTATAAAGTTCCCCATTTCTCTTTTTGCTGCCTAGTGAGGCAAGAGTTTGTGAAAAATGCTTATAAATAATAAAGAAGCTTCATTTTTTGTGTATTTTATTCTAGCGTATAAATTTGCACACTGGCTATGTAATAAGTAGAGGTTATTATGATTTTTAAAATTCTCCTGGGAAATGTTAAGAATTCCTTCACATCTGCTTCAGCCGCATGTACAGCTTGTGGCTTTGTGGTCGTGTCTTCAGGCCACTTTGTTGATGTGCTCCTTTTGGCAGGGTGGCAGCCCAGAGGGACCTCACAATTCAGGGTGCAGGGACTGGCCGGAGGATCTCTCCAGCAATGGTGGGCTGACACTTGACTTTGAGGACACAGTCTGCAAGGCAGAGACACATGGCCCCTGACTGGCAGAGATTTGTGGAAGGAGGATGAAATAATAGGATATGGGGGTCTCCTTAGCCAGAGGCCATTCTGTAGCTCTGAGCCCCAAGTCTAGTAGTGTCCCCTGATCAGGGTGCTTGGGATCAGAATATAGGAACACTCACCCCACCAGGCAGTGGAAAAGGGAAATGGGGAACTTTAAATCTGTAGTTGTCCCTTATAGCACATCAATCTGCTCAGGTTTAAAGAGTCTCATTTAGCTGAGCTGGTCTCCAGGGAGCATCAGAACTGCTTCTTGCTGGGTAGATACAGTGCCATTGGGAAAGCTTAAGGAAATGTAAGGGATGAGGGCGAAGCCGGGGTATTTCAGGGGGCAAAATCAACAGAGTCAGTCTGCATGTCCCTCTCTGTCTCTCTCCCTCTCCGTGGACCAACAGGGCTGCAGACGCTGCTTTTCCAGGTAAGGAGCCAACCATGAGCCATTGCCATCTTCCCAGCTCAGGGACACCAGCTGGGCATCCCCCAGTCCCCCTTCTGGAGCCCCTGTGGAATGACTCCCTGCTCTCCAGGCGGCTTTACCACCTCATTAGCAGATCTGTACTCACTGTTCCTTCTTCCCCATCTCTCCCAAATAGCTTTAAAAACATAGTATTCATAGCTGAAGCCAGGCTATAAGAAAACATCTCCCCGCCCACCCCTTCTCCCATACACAGAATCCTAACAATTTAATTCCATCTTCAGTGCAATGTAGAAAACTCGGGGCCCAGATCTGAAACCCCCACATCCCAGGCACTTCCTTCCCACCCCTCCTTTCTCCCACCCCAGAGAAATCTCCTCGAGGCCCCCATGCCCTGTATGCTAGAGGTCCAAACAGTGGGCTCTGGCGGGGGTTGCCTGTTCTTTCTGTTGCTGCGGTCTGCTTTTCTCTGCCAGTCCTCCCCCTCCTCTCCTGACTTCTGTAATCTAGGCCCTTTCAGAGGAAAAGAAAACAAATTCTGAGAAGCTTGAAGCTCCAATATTGCTCTCATTTGTTTCCAAAGTACTCCCTGCCTCTCTCTCTATTTCTGGCAACAATTTCCATTGGGGTGCAAAGCTCGGGAGCAGGCACTACAGATTTTTCTGGAATTTTAGAGCTGATTTCACATCGAGTGCCCAGGAGATACCCTGGATGTCTGGATTTACAGCTGGTCCAGGATCCTCACTCCCCAACAGAGCAAGACCCTCCAGAATAGTCTACAAAATGGCTCCTGGTAAAGAAAATGACCTTATTCACGTGGAGGTAACACTCCGCTCATTGAACATGCATTTATCGAGGGCCTCCTGTCTACTCATTGGACTATATACAGACATTTCTATGATATGAACCCAGTCTTGAAAGTGCTTACAATCAAATTAGAAAGACCAAACATAGGTATATGAATAAACAGCTAAAAATGCAGAGGGCAGCCTGCTTAAAGGACAGGGACCTCGGATCCCTCAACTTGGAATCCCCAGTGCCTACCGCTGTGCCTGGTCCTCACTGAAGGTCCAGCCAATGTTTGTTAAAGGAGGGAATGAGGAAGAGAACCCTGGGAGGGGTGTTGATCAGAGAAGGCTTTGCAGAGGACTTAGACTTCGGATGGATGCGAAAGT